ACCCTTCTACCTCTTCCTCCCATTCCTCTCCAGCAGGGTCTGAGAAGAGAACAAATCCACAGCTCTCTCCAGCTGTTTGCTGGATTCAGATCTGTTAGTTGTGCAAAAGCCTCCCACTACCAAAAGGAAGAGAAAATGAAGCCTCCAGTTTGCAGTTTTACCCACAGACTGCTTGTCTCTACCCTTGAGCTGAAGGGACTGCTAACAAAGGGATCAGATGAAATGCAGTCTCAACATTTGATTCCTGCAGCGGAAGGAGTCTCTCAATCCCATTTCTCCATTTTACCCTGGAGTCAGTTGTAATATAACACGACCTCAGCCCTATGTGCTCATAAGTGCTCTAGGACAAAAGGATTCACCTCCACGCAATGCCATGATGTTCTTCAACCCCAGCCGCTTGGCCTTCTGCAGATGCCCTGTGATGTCATCCTTGGTCTGGTTGCAGCATGTCATGTGGAGGATGGTCTCCAGGCCACAGTAGTTGACTGCAGTGTTGGCAATGATCATGGAAGAGGTCTCCTTGTCAGACCCTGGGTCACCTGCAGGGTGCCAGGTCACATCAATGAAGAGGGGACCGCCTGCTCCCATGCGATCAAACCTGTGAATTTTAGAGCTGTATTAATCTACCAGGTAGCTAGCTCCCCTCTCCATGCCTAGGATATCTTGCTCACTGCCAAACTGCTAGCACCAGGCAGAGGGAGCTTGGATGGCAGCAGCAGAAGAGACCAAGAAAGTGTTGAACTATGAGTTTAGCAAGTGGCCAATGTAATAAGGAGAGCTGGCATTTAAGACTGAGGAGGAGCTGAGAATCTTTTCTGGAAGAAGAGGCAACTTAATTCTCCTCTGTAGAATAAACTTCCTCCCAGCACTTCTATCAGACTGATGAGTGTTCTGAGAGAGAGCAATGCAAGTCCCATTCATTTTGGGATAGGAAGCTATGCTGGAACCCTCTGTTCCCAGCTTTCTACTGGAAAAAAAGAAACTCTTGGCTGTAGAGGCCAAGGATAGGTAAAGATGGACCAGATCTCTGTTTTGTTCCCAAGCATGTCTAACAGAAGAGACAAGTTCTCCCTTAACTTGTCTCCCTTCTGCTCTGGTCTGGAACAGGCCCATCTGTTTGAGGTAAACCCAGCGCTGGCATATAGCGGTTACAAGAACTGTGAAACTGCGCCTCCTCCAAGTGGGGACATGGTGGCTCCTGGGGCTCCCCACTAGGCCCCAGGACAACTTTTGGCTCTGTTGAGAGCTGTCACCTTTCATTTGGCATGTAGATGGGGACATCTATCTCAGAGGCTAAAACTATAGTCCTCAGTAATACAGAGGCCCAAAACACAGTGGCTGAATGACCCTGAAAGCAAGTGAGATCCTCTGTTCTAGAGGCATGGGCACATTGACCATCAATTAATGTTTTCTGCTTCTAATGGGCACTTTTCTGCTGTGTTGTCCCCCAGCACTCTGCTTCAGCCCCAGAGCACAACAGTAGGGTTGCTCAGTCTTCACAGAGCATGGGAGAGGGGATACAATCTGGCCTCCTTGGAAGCCCCACCATGACACTTAGCTCTTCAGGGCTTCCAAGGAAAACAAGTTACCTGGTGTCCATTACCCTTCGCAGCAGGAAAGCAGAGCGCCATTACCTGCTTCATCACCTGGAAGGGGAGACAGAGCACGGGCCTGAGCCTGCCTCATTGGCTACTCCCCAGCCCTCCATCAAAGGCACTTCATCTCTCTCCTCTCCCACCCTGCAGCCCTCACCTAGAGATGAGATTGACAGCACCACTGGCTGTGCGTGGAGGGAAGAACTCCAAGGAGAACCACTTGTCTCCAGAGTCCTGCCGTCGGCGCATCTTCTCCCGCAGTCGCTCATGACGTTCGGCATCGAGGACCGGGGTGGAGCAGCGTGAGCTGTCCTTGGAGCTCTCACTCCCGCTACTGCTGCCACCATCAGATTTGGAGCTGGAGCTGGCACTGCAGGTATGTTGAGTCTCGTTGACCATGGTGAACTCTCTGGAGGAGAGGAACAGAAGGAGCACAGTGGGCATGAGAGAGCACACAGACCTTACCAAGGGACAGTAAGTGCTGGGGTGGGCAGCAGCTGACTATAGGTAAAAGGGAAGGGAAGCCTGTGCCAAGACCACCATTAAAAACAACAACAGCAAGAAGCAGTTCCTTTTGCCAGGCCTCACTACAAGCTGCAGTGGGGAATCTGGCTGGAAACAAAATGAAAAAGGGTATGTTTAGAAAGTATTAGAAGAAAACACAGCAGATGGCTTCATGCCACCTTGATACAGCTCTTCTGTGGCCGCTGGGTCAAATTTGGCTCTCAGAACGGTCAGGTCAACATCACTTGGGCCCTAAGCTGACTACAGCTTAGCAAGTCAGGATGCCCGTATGAATCAGGTGAGGGCCTCTTTGATCTTGCGGCCTTGGACTGGACATGCCAGCAAGTTATGTTAGAGCAGCTGCCTCTTGGACACGATCATGTGCCATCTGCACAGTTTCCCTTCCATTTGTTCGCAAAAGGTAGCGTTTCTTTACAGTGTAGACAGGAGGGCAAGTACTGATGGGGTAGGTACATGAGAATGCACGGACTATTCATTAGTCAGAAAAAAAAGGAAAGAATCCCCTCTGGGCCAGGCTACCCCAACAAGTGCCAGGCTGTTCTAGTCCTCTCTGTTTTGTTCTTGCTGGCAACAACCAGTTGCGTTTCTAAACCTTGGTTTTCCTCCATGAGAGATACCATTTCCACAGATGTTTGTTCCCCGAGCCATCTGCTCGACACACTCAGCTCTTTCCTCCACCACATATGCTTGTTCCTTTGCTCACCAATTGCAGCTGCTTTGAAACAAGTTCAGCAGAAGTCTCTCAGCTGACCCAGCAAGGTGTCCCATATGGGCAAACTGTTCCTGGTAGGACAAACTACCAACCAACCTCATGTAACCATGGATCAGCGCGTCTCCTGCGGAGCCAGGGAGAGGAACGCATCCAGACCATCCCCTTTTCCCTGCTTTATTGTAACACGATCAGCTGTGCTTGTTTGGCTTTACAGACGGGGAAACAGCACTGCACAGCAAGTCAGCAGCACAAGGGGGTCTAGGATGCACAACTCTGCTTAGCTCTCTGGGCGACAACTGCATTGTTAGATGTCCTCTCCCTGAAGTGCTTTACTCTGCCTTGAAAATTAGGCAGTGATTAGAGACATTTAGAGAAGAGCTGCCATAAAGTTTATCTGCATTATTTACTCACCTACCTGCCAAAACTTACAATCACTAACGAGAAGCAGCAAGTTGGCTGAACATGACATAACATTGGCACTTGGTTGGAGGAAGTGGTTGCACAAGCTACTGAGTTCATCACACACTGTCCTTGTCATAAACTTTGTGGGTTTAGGTCAGCCAAGCAGACTTTGAGCTCTTCTTCCACTGTTTGCACTGCAGTTGCCAATCAAGCAAAAAAAAAAAAAAAACTGTGGGAGAAAGTCTGCTTTTATCACCTAGGGATCTCTCTGGCTGGCAGATTTGAGAAAGGAGTGCAGGGCTTCTGGTGCCAAGAGAAACAGGGAGTCTCACATCTCTTGTGTACTAACACAGCAGGCCATGGTAAACTCGGCAACACAGACCTATTGACAGTTGGAGCAGAAGCAACCAGGTGCTCAGTAAAAGCACTCATGACAGATACCCTCACCAATCTGCAGGCAGAAGCTTGCAGGTTTTGCAGAGAGAAAAGAGTTTCTCTGAAGAGCAAAAGCAATGGCAAAACAAGGCAATCTTAAACACCTCAGCTCCTATGGGTCAACTCATGTTCCTCAGTGAGCCATGTCCCTGCCACACTGCACAGCTCAGAGGAGAGACCCTTGGCCCAGCACACTGATGCTGGTCTGCACGGTGTGCCTGTTGTACACGATGCTGGCAGGACCTATTTATTTAGCTTTGGGGTGTCTCCACTGCTGGGCCAGAGCTGACTCCTGCAAAGGCAGTGCAGAGCTCTGCATCCTCCTAAACTTGATTTTGCCCCCTGCCCCAAGCAATTTAAACTCAGCTGCTTGTCTGCCAGGGACTTGGCCAGGGCCTTGCTGTCCTGGGCCAAAGCATCAGGCTAACGGGCCCTACAGGGCGGAACTGTCTCCCCTGTCCTGCAGGAGCAGGCCAGGGACCCACGTCTGCCTGGTGACTGCCAGGACAGACGGGCAGACAGAGTCGGCACGGCCGGCCACGGGGAGGTCCACGGGAAAGGCCCAGCAGGGCTTGGGCGCCCGCAGGGCGAAGGGGGAGCGCAGCTGGCCCGCGGGCAGGCAGGAAGCCGTGCCGGGGGCCCT